GTTGGTAAGGGCAAGAGAGCTGATAACGTGTTGAAGGTCAAGATTCGTAGCTCTGGTCAGGAGTAGAAGAGCAGCCCGTTCAGGAATACACAGAGATGCGATCTCACGAGAGGGAGATACCACAGTGAATTTTATTCGAAATCTTAGGTCTTTTATACCTAGGCAGGAGTCTAAGCTCCTCCTTACATGTCCTGATCCGTACATACATATACATAGGATAAGGCTACCCTGGTCTATCATAAGTAGCGTCCTAGAATGCTATTGGGTGTACCCAGCATGTGGGGTGCTAGCCCAATTTCGTACTACCTCAAGGGTATCATGCTAGAGTCGTAACTTCGGGGTATAACCCCGGTGACTCACGTATTTTACTACTGTCACGGGTATATGGCCCCGTGGGTTGGTATGAGTCATAGTCCTAGTACGGAACGAGGACTAGTAGTTTCCAGTTTCTACCTAAACCTCAACAGTAATGTTAGCAGCACAGGGCAATTGAGCAGCGGGCTCAACTGGAGGAGGGCTCGGGTCAGACAGCGGAGTGTCTGTGTTGACAGGTCTCGCTCTCTCTCCCACAACTACTCGTCTGCTGATAAAACAACCAGTCGTTATCACGTAGCGGTCCAGGGTAGTCGTTTCATTAACATGGTGGCAGCGGTTTGTTGAAAATCAACCGAAACGACAAGTCGAAATGGATAAAATACCAGAAAAGATTGGTATGAAGGACCGGACGTGGACTCAGTGGAAGAGGTTCCGTCAACAATTGGAAATCTTCTTAGTGGCAACGAAAAAAGAAGCGGAAGTCGACAGAGTCAAGATAGCAATTCTCTTGGCTAGCGGAGGTGAAATTGTCTTGGACGAATTCAATACGTTGTTCGGGGACCAGAACGTCGTAAAGTTCGAAGGTGTGGTCAGAAAGTTGGGGAGCAACTTCCAAAGAGGCGAATCTGAAAACTTCCTAGCGTATCAGTTCAGAACGCGGGTGCAGAAGGAGACGGAGGATTTCGCGAAGTGGCTGACGGATCTCGGGCTGCTAAGTAAAACCTGCAGCTACGGAGATCAGGAAGAGAGGATGATACGGGATCAAATAATCGCCGGAATACAAAGCAACGAAACGCGGAGAGAGTTGCTAAAATCCGCTGAGCTCAATCTAGACGAAGCTATCGCGATATGCGCATCCATGGAAGCCTCTCGAAAGCAAATGAACATTTTCGAAGGAGTCTCGAAGACGGCGACATCAGCGCGAGCGACGCAGGGAGACGATGAAACGGAGGAGGCATGCGCGGTGCGTTGGCCAAGACCAAACAATAGCAGACAGCCTCCAAGAAAACAAACAAATGGAGCGCGTAACGTTCGAAGTTGTCGTAGCTGTGGCCCAAGTCATTACGCAGGGGCAAATGGCTGTCCGGCAATAGGTCGAAAATGCAACTATTGCGGTCGAATGAACCACTTCGCCAGCGTATGCACCAAGAAAAAATCGTCAGTGACAGTAGACTGCGTTGAAAGCGGAGAGGAAGAGATTCACCTTGTGTTCGCAGCGGAATCAGCAAAGAGCGCGCAGTCCTTGGTTCATGCGGAATTCCAAATCGAACAATCGTCGAAACCAAAGCAAAAGGTGAGATTCCTCCTCGACTCAGGAGCCTCATGCAATATTGTGCCGAGAGTACATGTGACGAACGCGAAGATCAACCGCGAAAGCAAGCCGACACTCCGAACATACGGGAACCGAGCGCTAGAAACAATCGGAACATGCTCGATCGCAGTCACCAACTTCAAAACAGGAAGCATCCACAGCATGACGTGTGTAGTGGCAGAGGATCTCACGCCGATCTTAGGACGAACGACAGCGGAAGAAATCGGCCTCATCAGGTTCGATTACGAACGAGTGGCGAAGATCAACGAAACAAAGACGACGAAGTTGGTGCGCGACGAAGTGACAGATGTGGAGGAGCGGTTCCGGGCAGTTTTCAACGGCGAGCTCGGGAAATTCGACGGAAGGGTGAAACTCCACCTCAAAGAAAACTCGAGACCGGTGTCAAATTCGTCAAAAATGTGAGCTGTCGAATCACGCCTCAGTTGAAAACGGAACTGAAAAGGAAGCTGGACGAGCTAGAAGAAAGAGGAGTCGTAAGCCGGGTCGAAAGACCGATCGAATGGGTTAACAGGCTGTCGATTCAAATGAAAAAATCGGGGGATTTGCGGTTGTGCTTGGACCCAAGACCACTGAATCAATGTCTGGTTCGGGAGGTGTATCACACGCCCAGCTTCGATGAGATCATCCCGGATTCTGGGAATCACGAAAAGTTACTGAGCATCAGTGTGGCTTGCAGATAGGGCTACAGAAAATTTTCCATTCTTTCTCAGCGATCCACTTTGGCAGTTCCGAGCCCGGTCACAGAGCGAGCCCAGCAAAGCGTTCACATTCGGAAGCAAATTCAGGACTCATTCAGCTTCCAAATTCGACAGTTGAGAACCGTGTGGTGGAGTCCTCTGAGGTTCCAATAGTTCAGTCCTCCACTCCAAACAGCTTCGCTGTTCCATTGACTCATGCGTCTGTCTCTACTTCCACGACATTCACAAGTACGACATCCAAGCCGGTGTTTCGATCATCCGGACTGACGGTTTCCCCTTTCTACAAACGTCATCCGTATCAGCCAAGTTCAGCTGAGTCTGGATATCCACCTCGACGAGTGGTGGTACAGGAGTACCGAAGATCTACCACGACGTCTCCCCCGAGGATGGATTTCAGCTATCGACGAGAGTGGCAGCGCATCGTTCCCACCGAGATGCCGATTTCTGGCAGGGCTCTGCATATTCGCACTGCTACAGCTCATCCTTCTAGAGCTTTCTTCTCGAGTACTACGATAAGGCCTTCATCTTCTTATCGGACCACTCGGGCTACTAGGGCCACTCCTTCTTCTCGATCTACAACTGTTCGTCTGTCAGCTTCAACTACTACTGTTAGACCAGTGTCGACAACTGCTACAACCCTTAAACCATCTTCAACCACCAATTCAATCACTCCAGCAAGTGTTATTGTTACGACATCGACCGTTCCGTCGAGTTCAACCAAGTCGACGCCGGTCGAGCCGGTTACTCCGTTATCTTCATCATCTTCCGTCTCCGAGTCGTTTTCTCCCACGACTGGAATTTCATCGATTTCGAGTACTGTTCACTCGATACCCAGCACTACAGTTTCGAATTCCTTTGAGATTGATTTCAGATGGCATTTATGCATCTGGCTGGAAGAGGTGCGATTATGTAAGCTGAGTCGAGACCAAAGCTGTGTAGTCGTCGACTATCACCATGCGATCGGGGATCGAATGACGGTGACAAGCTTCTCCCCAGCAACCTCCTATGCCAGTGTCGCCGATCTGATGAGAATAGCCAACGACTGCCGAGATCATACGATCTACAAGGCGGTCGAATAAATTTTCTTTCTCATTTAGGGAACAAAGCAAATGTGCGTTTATTGTGGGTATGATTAATAGATGAATCAAATATAATCAGAGATCTTCGACAGTTTCTCTATAAGGCCGATCGTGGCGTTCAGATGTGGGAGATTCTGGCACGGTCTCATAATTGCGTCTGATGCGCTTATTAGTAGACGAAGCGCTTGACAGCGTATGAGCCGAACACCAGGATGATGAATGACGATCCAATGCAATAGCCGATCAGCGGCTTAATCCATTTGCAGGGATTCGTTGGAGTCGGTGGTAGGGCTTCCAAATACCCGTCACGTTTGGGAACCGCGGCTCTCGGGTATCCGAGAACCGACAGGTTGGAACCGCGGGTAAGAACCGGAAAAGACCGCATTCCTTCAACCACCCGTTTAGGACGGACTACATGCGGCGCCAGTGACGAAAAAACTGAGAGCAAGTTGGTACGGTTATACCGATCCCGGTCAAGTCGTTTCAAATTTAATTAATGATCGTTTTCATCAGTCGTCGTATTGAAACTTTTTTTTCAGTATGAATATGTCATCGAGTGTTTCGGGGCTAAAGCTTGTCCTGTTCTCTCCCAACATCAAGCGGAGCACGCTGAAGTCCCTTTCTGGTTGAACCGACGTCGGAGGAATTGCTTCCAATATTTCTTTGCACAATGTTAAAGCTTGGCTCCGTCCCCCACCAGCCTTGAAAAGTGTCAAGTCCCTCTCAAGAGTCCCTTTAGTGCAGAGGGGAGGTGAACTTCGAGGTGAACTTGAAGCTGTTGGTTCGGCATACACGGTCTGCCACGTCAGAACCAACTGGGGGAAAATAACTTGGATTAGTCATGGTCACTCAATCGCGTGCGTTCGAGTATCTCCTGATGTACGCTTCGACATGAACAGAAACTCACTTCCTCAGGCTCTTCTACCACAGAATGACGCAGGGGGGCACTGGACCGACTGGGAAGGATCTCCTCCAAGACTTCTATAATGGCCAGATCGCTAGGAATCCCTTGACCAATTTCTTTTTCCAAGTCGAAACTACAGCTTGGATCACTTAAAATCGAGAGAACGCTCGAGAAAATGCTCCGCCGCTTGAGAATTTCCGCGACGAAGTTCTCGCGAAGCAACGTCGCAAGCTCCGTATCGATTTTGCGCAGGTCTGACAGCAGCAGAATGCAGAGCTTGTCCGCAGTCAAGAGCGTCGCCTCTTTTTTACACAACATCAGAATCGCTCGTTTGAATGGTATTAGAGCGTCGGCGATTTGCTCCAAAGCGGACACATCCGTTGCGCTTATGGGGGTCCCATGTCGAGAGAGCACATTATTGAGTGCGGGTAAGATTCGTAATGCTCTCTCTATCATCAGACAGGTGGAGTACCACCTGGTACGGCAATCGAGTATCGGACGGAGTTCTCTACCATTGAACTCCTCCTTCCGCGTTGTTTTCCGTATCTCGTCCATCATTATCGGTTTTCTCTTGAATTCGCGACAAGCGCTCCGTAATCTATCTATGACTGCACCGAGACAGACGGCTGTAGTGCCAAGATCCGCGTCTACCTCTGTCTCGTCCAGACTATCTCTAAACGTATCATCTGACACCCCGTTCTCTGTTTCTTCCGGGACGTCGTCTCCCCGATCCGCAAGCAGGATGTCGATATCGAAAGCTAGAGCGTTACGTCCGTATATAGTTTTCCGCACAACCAAATCCAACCCGTGCGCAAAGCACTTCTGCTGCTTGATCAACATGAGATCGAGAGCTCTCCGAACGTTACTTGCTCCATCTGTCGATGCTGCGGCAAAATCTTCCGTCGATAGACCCACTCCGCGGAGTCGGCCGCTTATCAAATCGCAGAGATTCGAACCGGTTTGTCGATCATCGATCCTTATCAAACCTAGAGGGAGTATCTTCGAATTTCCCAACAATACGGCATGATGGTGTACATTGACTGTGATGTACCGATCTGTTCCGACCACAGTCGCTTCATCGAAAGACATAGCGAGTTTGTAACCTGTAGAGGGAGAGGCAAGCGTCAGATTGAACTCTCACGGCTTGGAGGAGTATCGTTTGAAGGATTCTAGAGAAAGCTGGATATATTGCGGAGCCTGATGACGAACCTCCCTCTATGATGCCTTTGAGTATGGCTCTCATCTGGTCCCGCACAACATCAGCATCTTCTTTCAAGTACTTCCGGAGCGTGGAGCCGGATTTCGGCGGCTGCATCCCGTTT